TGCCACTTTGGTTGTTGATATGTGCTGCTGACTATCCATGCTGTTGGTCTCATGCTGTTGGTCTCATGCTGCTGATCTCATGCTGCTGATTTATTTCATGCTGCTGTTCTTTCATCCTCTTCTGCTCACACAGGCTCATGTTTGTGCTGCTGTTGTTTGGTGTATTGTTTTTGTATTATTTGTTCTTAGTGTATTTCTTAGTTCATATCTTAGATCTTATACTGTTTTTCTTTAAAATTTATACTTTTGTTGGTTGTAACTGGGACCCTGTGTTCACAGTTTTGTTCCATCACATGTACCACATGTGATGAGAATAACAATAAAGAAACCTTGACCTTGACCTCCTTGGCCCCACTCTAGCAAGGCCCCTGGCCCCACCACCTGCTCCCCTGGGCCCCTGGATGCAGCTCCCTGCTCCACACAGAGGCTGTGGTAGCTCGGTGGTCTGTGCTTGTGTCAGGAAGAACCTCCAGTGTAAAAATAACTGCCAAGTCTTCGTGCGAGTTAGTTTTCTGTGGTGATCCATAACCTCCAAACATGTGTGGATGCCAGGTCCTAGGAGGCTAAGAATGGAGCAACTGAGAGAAGGAAAAAAGCTTTTTAATTATTGCTTTTTCATCTTTAAGGGACTGTAAGTGTTGTATATCTGTATTGATTAAGCGCTCGTGAGTGACAGACGTGTGAAAACCTTGAGGATTCTTTGAGGTCAGAATGAATTTTTCACGACAGTCTCGAACATTTACTGATATAAAGATTTTAGGTTGAAGGTCATGAAACAGAGGGGTCTCTTAGTGGTTATTACAGCAATCCAAGGATCTTAACATATTACAAGTTTATTTTGAAGAGATCCGTGCCAAATGTTGAAAATCTACAACAATATTGAACGAGATGTTTCCACTTCCAGAAGCCCTAAAACAAAAGCTAAAGTAAATCTTCTTCTCCATAATATCTAAAAAACGTGTTCTGAATTAAAATGCATTTTCTCTCTAGCATCAAAACATAAAATAATTAATGTATTCAGTGACAGAAACACACAAAGCTTCTGGACCAGTGGTGACACAGCGGTCCACTCTCCTGGTGATTTAATGCAGCATGTATTTGGGACTAAAAGGTTTTCTTTAGATAACGAGCCAGAACAAAGACACAAAAGATTGCTTTTGAAATAGAAATAAAGGATCATTATGTTCTGGCCGTGGATGGAGTCTTATTTCTCATGTATCCAACACTGTTTTCAGGTCATTTGTTACATTTGTGTCTCTTTTTGTCCGTCACTGAATTTACCCATGTGAAAGCTCAGTGTTATATTAATCAAAGTGCATGTGTAAAATCGGGCACCGCGCCCCCAAATAGTTTCATTACTGTCATTCACACCTGGTTTTTGTTAACCGTTCTATACCAACAAAGTCCATGCTCAATAATCCAGGTATACAATCCAACAATTTTCAGTCAGGTCATCTGGACAGTTTCTTTTTTTTCTTTTTTCTGAAACGTTTCACCTTCCATCCAGAAGGCTTCATCAGTCAAGGAAACACACAACAAAACTGATTCTTCCCCCAAACAGCTTACTCCAAAGTGGAACAAACCAGTTATGTTGGTGCTAAGATGGTGTCTTTGGCACACCCCCTCCTCTGGTGCTGGCCTTCTCCCTCGTCGACAGTCATGTCAAACTGGTTCAAAACCAACAAAGTCCATGCTCAATAATCCAGGTATACAATCCAACGATTCTATATAAACATATTTGTAAATCAGTTTTATTAGTATTTTACAATGTGAGCACGACGTGCACGTTACTGGGCGTCTAAAATACTGTAGAACAGCTGAAACACAGTTAGACATGAACGTTGTTTAGACCATAGACATAAATATGTAGACGCCGCCTCGTTGAGCCGCTGTAACGGTACGTCAGAGCGTCCGCCATATTGGATGTGGCAGATCTGCCGGTCAACTAACACAAGGAAATGGACTGAACTTGATGAAGCACTGTTCTACAAAGTGTGTGAAGTTGATCCCTGTCAGTCACGCACACTAATATATCTGGAAAACAAACAGGCACCAAAGAAACATTTATAACTTTTAAAATACTTATTAAAAATGTTTACTCCTTAAATATTTAGGTTATATATAAGCACTAAACCAGCATACGTATTCTTCTGAGTGTTTATAACTAATAATGTGTGTAGCAGCAATATTACTGTGATGATAAATGTAGAAATATTCATATTTAATATTTAATATTTAATCTGTCTATAACAACCAGATCGTGAAATTTAGATGTGATGTTGGATTTTCTTCATAAAGTGCACTAACGTTCACATTTAACTGATTGAAGGACATCTATCCATTATTTTTATCCACGTCTTCCTTTTTTGGGTCACGAGGGACGCCAGTGCACATCACTGAGCGAGAGGTGAGGGACAGCTGGACAGGTCTCCAGTCCATCGCAGGGACACTTAGAGACAAACGAGACAATCATTCACTCTCTCTCTCACCTAGGGATAATTCAGTTACCATCAGCCTAACATGCATGTTTTTGGTCTGTGGGAGGAAACTGGAGCACCCGGAGAAAACCCACGCAACACGGAGAGAACATGCAAACTCCACCCAGAAACACGTCCGGACTGGGAATTGAACCAGGGTAACCTGCTTGCTGAGAGGCAGCAGCTCTACCAACTGCACCACCGTGCTGCCCATCAAAGAACATATAAACACCAACAGACAGTGTATTTACAGCGGGGTACTGAACATAAGGATCAAGGTTTCTTTATTGTCATTCACATCATGTGGTACATGTGGTGGAACAAAACTGTGTTCACAGTTACATCCACCAAAAGTATAAAACGTAAAGGAAAGCCAGTAATAATATCTAAGACTAAGTGTTTTTCAATGAAACGACCGCATTGCAAAATACGGACTTGGAGCATTAGAAACAGTTAAACGTTCATTTACAGATGGAGGGTCTTCTTAACACTCCAGATTAAGCTTTTTTAATTGTGAAAATTATCCTTTAGGTCATTCTAATGAGGGAAAATACATTTCCCCCAAAACTGCCATAAAATATATATCTTTTCTTTCAGCTGCTCCCTCCTCAGGGGTCACCATGGTGAACTAACTTGCACAAGACTTGGTGATTGTTTTTACACTGGATGTCCTTCCTGACACAACCAGACCACCGAGCTACCACCGCCTCTGTGTGGAGCAGAGGACTCCATGTAGGGGGCCCAGGGGAGAGATGGTGGGGGTTAAGGTCATTGCTCAAGGGCCCAGAGTGGGGCAAATGAGGGTGGAGGCAGTGGGTGCTTCGCCTTTCCCACCCCCATTTTTTAATGTTCCAGGGGATCAAACTGGTTTCTTTATTTATCTTTTAAGAGAAAAATGCCTTTAAATAGTAAAATATTAAAATGTAATTTATTGGTATTATTTCAGGCAGTGGCAGCTCTAAAGGACACTAGTTTGTTGTCGGAAAAAAACAGTATTAAATACTATATTATATAAAGAGAAGTTATTTTTAACTAGTTATGTAATGTGGTCAGTTTTTCCGCAAACTTTGAAAACTGGATTCAGGATGAATTAATGTACAGGTAATTAATGTACAGGTAATTAATGTACAGGTAATTAATGTACAGGT